ACCAGTCAGAATTTCAAGAAAGCGCGACACCCTTTTGGCGATTGATGCCTTGTGAGTAACACTGTGTAGCCATTTTTCTCTGCTGCGGGATCCGATACCCGATAAATTCAATAGAAGGACTCTCGGTCGTTTCAAGCCTTACCGGCTCATGATTCTCCCTAAATCAAAAAGGGCCTAAATTATATTTTTATCGTAAACTATATTTATTAAGCTTTCTTTTCATGTATAGTTTGTTAGGGTTTTCTTGAAACTAGCGTGCGTATAAAATTTTTCCCGAAGGACACCTGCGAAGGTGTGAAGTAACCTTAAGTCGTTAAGTCGTACCAGAGAACACTGAAAAAGGAATATCCCACGCAAATGGTAAACTGTTGATAAACATTTTGTCCTGCACACTGCAAAAGTATTTGAAGGATAATAAACGCATTAGAACTGACAGATTTTTCCTCGAGCTTCGCTCTCGGGACGATAATGTCCGCGGACAAACATCCGAGCATATTTTCGCGCCAAATAAAGGCTATAGTCTAGACATCTGCCTCTAAACAAGCCATCTCTACAATTACCACATTTACAAATACCGAAAATATTTCACTTAGACTGGATCTTTAACGAAGAAGTTCAAATATGCGGAACATTGCTTAAAGTGCACCTGACCCCTAAATTTTTTTTTCACTTAAAAAATCTTCTTGCTTTGGTGAGTATTTCTTCGAAAAAATTGTTGAATTTGGTTAAACCCTCCTTTTTTTAAGCCCTGTTGAAGTCGAGATCGGAATGGACCACGACTGCGTAAATGGCGATCTGGGTAGAGTAGACTTGTGATGTCACTTCGAGAAGACGCTCGAGGAATTCTCAGCCAGTCGTCGACCTGCGAAAGCCTTTCTAGCACTAGATTCATTCTTCGGCATATTTGCGACCAATATCGATGTAACCTTTCAAATATAGCCAATGAACTGTGCAAAATGGGGCGAAATGCAGATTGTTGGGTTCTCGAAGTGACGCCACATTAGTCGCCAGACTCTTGATCCTTGAAACGCGGTCGTGAGTCAAAATAGTGGTGATTTTAATGCGATTTTCCGTACCTGAACGGGGCACAAAAATTCAAGGATTTGACCAAATCCAACAATTGTTTCGACGAGATACTCACCAAAGCATGAAGATTTTTTTAAACGAAAAAAAAATTTAGGCGTTAGGTGCACTTTAATAGTCACATAGTGCCCGAGTTTAATTTTGAACTTGAGAGTTCCTTCGACCGACTAGCTACTTACTGTTGGACTTTTAGGGTGAGCTAGCTCGAACACCACGTGCAAACGAGTGCTAGGTACCCGGGGAAGGCGAGGGCTTCCTAACCTTCTTGCCTCCCAGTTAGCTCAATGGATAAAGCAATGGACTGTTGTGAGGGAGGTCGAGGGTTCGAGCCCCGGCCGGACCAACACTCAGGGTCTTAAAATAATTGAGAAGAATATGCTACCTTTCTCTAACATCAAGAAAGGGTTAGATATTCTAGTCT